GTTCCGTTGTTTTTTTGGGCCCTTCCACGGGAGAGATCAAATTTTTGCAATTCGGCCGGGGGGGGGGGGGGTGGTATCTTGTGCCACCTGCTACTGCTGATAGTCGGGGGGGAAAGCGTGAACAGGAGTCGGGCCACACGTAACTCGTTCTGGACTCCAAAACATGGCGGTGTTAGCCCAGACACCTCATGTTCATATGATCAACAGAACACGGTGTAAACCCAGACACGTCACGTTCATGCTATACGGCATGTAAATCCAGACACCGCGCGTGCATATGATAACCCACAACACCGTCGGTTTCGCACGCAAGATACCATACCCCCTCGACCGATATTCTCAAGCTCGATTGCTCTGCCGCAACAATTGGCGACGGTGCGGAAATGATCAGCGGCGTTGGAACCGTGCCGTCGACAGCTGCCTCGAAAGGTGCCATCATTACGTGTAGAACGCGCCATCCTCTTCGTCGTGAAGCAACCGGGGCTTTGGAAAGATCGGTCCCCGAGGTGTATGGTATCTTGCTTACAAAACCTACAACATCTATCTATTAACGCCATGTGTTTCTCGACAACCAATCCAGGGGGTGTTGTATCTTACGTACGCAACCGACGATATCTATCTATCATCGCCATTTGTTTCTCGACAACCGATCCAGGGGGTGTGGTATGTTGCGTACGCAACCGACGACATCTCTCTATCTGCGTTGCTTATTCCTCCGAAACCATTCCAAGGGATGTGGTATCTGACGTGATTGTTCATTCCTCGAAGACCCACACCGCACCGCGATGTTGTAGATGTTCGGTATGTTTTTTGTAGGCAACGTTATACTGTCTGTGGTTGAATCGTTACATCTCGAACGGGCACTCTTTATTTGATTGTACTTTGATGTATTTTTTCCTAACAATAATAATAATAATAATAATAATAAACGCAACAGGAGCAGCGGGCGAGAAGGGAGGACCAGGACAGGCACGCCTCCGAGCTGAGCCGGGCGACCGGGGACGCGGCGACGGCGGCTGAAGCGGCTTCGAGGGAGGAAGCCGCCGCCGAGGCCTCTCGAAACCTGTGCGAGCAGATGAGCGCGGTCTGTGGCCAGATGAGGAAGGCCGCCGAGGAGGCCGGGGCTCGCTCCGCCTCGGCCGAAGAAACCGTGAGCAGTTTTTCCTCTTTGTTTTTTCCTGTAAAGATAGCGCGTATACTGCATGATGTATCTCGAGGTTTTGGCGGGGAGGGGGGGAAGGGGTTCGGTCTGTTGTGGTTGAGAGACAGACCTGCATCTTCTTTTCATTTTGCAACATTTCTATGCACCGAATGCAACTCGTTTTTTTAAAGTGAGGGTACGTGACAAAGCCCGCCGAGGAGGCCGGGGCTCGCTCCGCTGACGCGGCAAAAACCGTGAGATTTTTGTTTTCTCCAATTATTTTTCGTACACAAATAAAACAAATCCATCTCTATTAGCCGTGCTCCGCCGAGGCAGAAGAAACACAGAGATTTCGCTTGTTTTTGGTTTCTCTGCTTTCTTTGAGCCACGAAGCACACCCGTGTCTGCCGAGGGTGGCACCATTTTGCGCACTTCTGCCGTGTATCTCAAACTCTCATTAGATGTTCAGCGTTTTTTTGTGCTGCGTGTTGGGTTTGGTCTGTTTGGTCAATTCAACGAGTTTCTCTCGCAACGGCTGTGCCCCCCCCCCCACACCTGATGTCATCATACCCCAAACGCCACATATGATTCCCCATTGTGTGCGTATTGAGCACTTGATTTTGCACAAGTACGTCTTGACCTTGTGTGTATGCCACGTGTGTTTGCGTGTTGTTTTCTCCGACGTCTCTCTGTTGGAGGTACAGCATTAGCCGCGTGTCGTTGTGGTTTTTACATTGAACATTAAATGACGGAGTCGAAAACAGTGGCGACGACGACCATCCAGGCACGCCGTCCTCCTCTTACCGACATGTCTCTCTATCCGTTGGAGGCAGCCGCGTGATATTGTCGTTCTTCGGGCTGTATGCCCTTTCTGGTGCTCCGTACCGGTATGTATGAAGCTAAAATGATGGCGGTCGTGAATCCCGGTGTGCTCTCTCTCCTTGCCGACGTTTCTCTATCTGTTGGAGGCAGCCGCGAGATATCGTTGTTTGTCTTCACGTTGATAACCGTTCTGGTGGTGCTCCGTACCTCACGTGTGGAATGGCGTTCTTGCTGCATATTTTCCTCTTTTTTTTTTTTTGCGTGCGATACCGCCTACGTCCGCCTGTGCACGGACCAGAGACTGATGTGTTTCGAAAAGAGAAGTGGATTCATTGTGTGTCTTGTAAGAAAATATACAAGCTCCGTGCACCGGCGATCTACAGTAGGTTGCAGAAGATAGCGCATCCCCTGAACCGATTTCCAAAGCTTGATTACTCGGCAGGGAAAGCAGTGACGGTGCCGAAAACGGCGGAGTTGAAATCGTCGCGTCGAGAGCTTTCCGAACACGCTTCGTTTGCCTTCGGCATCGTCTTGGTCGTTGAGTACTCGAGCTTTAAAAATCGGCCCAGGGGGTGTGGTATCTTACGTCATGCAACCTATTGTACATTAGCGTGTAGAGGGGAAAAAAGCCCATACGCAAAACAATCTACAGCAGCGTAGCAACGCTTGCAGGAAAAAGAAACCAAAGCTTCGCTGACGCTATGGATTCATTGCCAATCTATCTTAGGCTCCTTTCTAAAGATAGAGATAGATTCGTTGGGTCATACTGAGAAAAAAAACACCAAGACGCGCAACAGCAGTCATCAACGCACACGTACGTCACACGCGGACGGCGACCCCAGGTGCGCTCTCTCCGGGACGATGTGTCGCTGATGGAGGTAGCCGCGAAAGAGGCCGAGCGAGAGATGGCCCTGCTGAGGGGCAAGCTTGAGGCCGCCGAGCGCCGGTCTGAGCGCGAGGCGTGCCTGCTCGGGGAAAGGGCGGAGGCTGCCGGCCAAGAAGCCAAGCAGATGGCGCAGGCAAGCTTGTTGTTGTTGTTGTTGTTGGTGGTGGTGGTGGTGTTGGTGGTGGTGGGGTGGTTGTTGGTGGCGGTGTTGGTGATAGGTGGGCATCTCGAGGCGTCGGAAGGCGAGACAAACTCCACCTTCACTTCGAGGGGGGACAGGTACTACGATCACCTGGCCTGGCATCACCATGTTTTTTCTCTGAAGAAATGCAAAATACCATACAGTACTTGCCGCGAAATGCGTCTTTTAATGGGGGCTCTCAAAGATGGAAAGAGCACCATCGCGATAAAGCATCAGTCTCCGGCTTCACGTAAAGACTCTCAAAGACCGAAAACACAATAATCGCGAAACGAGTAGTTTATTCTTGGGTTATTCAGACAGGCTCTCAAAGACGCGGACCAAAAACATCGCGAAACCCATCTTTCCTTCTGTTGCATGTGCACGCTCACAGGGGACGAAAAGAAAGAAGTTCGCGAGATTTCTTTTTCTTCGGTAACATGAGTACAGGCTCTCAAAGAGGCAACATAACAACATCGAAAAAACGCAATACTTTCGGTTATATACCCAGGCTCTTACAGCCCAAATTATCGTGACATGCTTCTTTTCTTCGGTAACACTGAGTACAGGCTCTCAAAGACGAGAAGGACACGACCAATTCCCTGAGGGGTTTCCTCGCGGACAGGGAGGCGAGCCTGGATCGAGCGGAGAGGGAGCTGGCAGCGGCGAGGGAAACCTCTGAACGGTTAGTGGGAGTCGCACGTACCTTATACTATTATGGTATACGACACAAGATAATACGGCCCCTTGCCCGATTTTCAAAGCTCAATAACGCCGCGACGAAGAGGATGCGTAAACGAAAACGATACGTTTTCGGAACGCTCTCGTACGAGACGACTTTCAACGCCACAGTTTTCGGCGCTGTGACTCTTTATGCTGTTGAGAAAACGAGCTTTGAAAATCGGTCCAGGGGGTGGGTTATCCTTGTGTCGTACACGATACCGCAGTCGGGGTCCGCCCCTCTATAAGACAATACTGCTGTTTACAGATGTATTAATATTTTCTGTGATCCGTTAAAAAAAGTTCGCTGGGTTCTTCGAGTAAAACAAATATAATAAATATTAAAACACGTCAGATGTGTGAGCTGATAAGCTTGGGAGACGTTGTAACCGACTGGCAGCTGGCAGCCGTATTTTAGTGGGCAGTTGCTTTCGAAGACTTGGTTTTTCCTTTTTCTATGAATAGTGTCATTCTTCTTTTATCAGGTGCGACAGCATGCAGTGCACCAGAAAACAGCAGATAGGTGTTTTTTCCTACGGCTCGGGGCGCGCTGCCGTTCGGCTTCTCGAAAGCAGGCATTTTGTTCTGTTCCCATCAAGTTCGTATGGATTAAGACTATCAGAACTAGGGAAAAACCTGTGAGGTCATGTCCAGACATCTCCATGAGTTGTTGCTGTCTTCACATGTGAAACCGTTCCGACCTCTCCATCCAGTACCTCCATGAGTTATTAATGTTATTTTGTTGTGAAAGAGCATCGCATTGCCGTCGTCTCCTCGAAGGCAGGCATTTTGTTCTGTTCTCATAACTTCGTATGAAACTTAAATATTTACCACGTATATGAGCAGTATTGTGTTGTTTACAGAATATCGACCGTCGCACTCTGCCTTTCGGCTCCTCGAAAGCAGAGGCGAAGAAGTGTCGGAAGGCCTGAGGTCCGCGCTGCAGCGGAGCCAGGGGGAGGCGGAGCGGCTGAGGGCGAGGCTGGAGACAGCCGTAGAACTCGCGGCCGACGAGGCGGGCAAGGCCAAGGAGTCCTCCAGGGCGGAGGAATTGTCGAGGTGACTTGTTGATATGTTTGTTGTTGTTGTTGTTGTTGTTGTTGTTGTTGTTGTTGTTGGTGGTGGTGGTGGTGGTAGTGGTGGTGGTGGTGGTGTTGATGTTGTTGCTGTTGCTGCTGTTGTTGTGCTGGTACTGCTGCTGCTGCTGTCGTTCTTCTTGTCGCCAATCTTTGCCGCTGGCGCGTCAGGCAGAGCCACCAAGAGTTTCACGAAGAGCAGCGAATAGGGAAAAGCAAGATGTCTTTAGTGCTTCACACGCCGTGAAATATCCGCTGTTATTGCTCTTGATATCAGCAACGTGTTAGGTGGGCTGAGAGAGCTACAAAAGCGGGCAAGATGGCTGGCCTGTGTTGTGTGGAGTTTTCTCATTGCGGGGGAAGGGGTGTTCTGTGCTGGTATCGTGTTTGGCGCCGCAGCAGTCCACGATCGCTGGATGTTTATCGTGAAGCCGTGCCCCGCGTTACACGTAGCACGATGGCCACCTGTATGTCTAGCCTTTACAACACCATGAAGGTACACCTATCACCTATCACATAGCGACCACCACCGCCAACACAATTCATCGCCATCACTTCCTGTATAGCCAACTCCAACACGGAAAAATCCACCCACAGCATCCATCACAACGACCACCACCGCTTCCACCATCACCATCACCACCACTAACAACAACAACACCAACAACACCAACACCAACAGCTCCACCACCAACACCGTCAACACAACCGCTACCACAGTATTATAGTAGATTACCGGCAATACCACCGACATATCCAACACCAACACACCACCGTCCCCGCAACTCACCACCAGCAGCCCATCACAATAGTAGCACCACACAATGTTTCTCACCACCATCACCGCCGCCACCACCACCACCGCCACCAACATAACCAACACCAATATCATCACCGTCCCCGCAATTCATCACCATCAGCGCATCGCCTCAGCAGCACCATAAACCGTTTCTGACCACCATCACCGTCTACACATCACAACGGCAACAGCACCAACACCAACACAACCACTGTCACCACCACCTCCACCAACGTTTGTAGGTCGCAACTGTTCTTGCATCCTCACACCACTAACATATCCAACACCAACACTACCACCACCACCACCACCGCCCCCAATTTTGGCAGGTCGCAACTGGCGATATCTGGAGATCGAGAAGAAAATCTCCGGTCGGAAAACGCCACTCTTG